CGACGTACACGCTCCCGTCAAACAGCTGGGATATTGCTTACTACGCACACGCTGCCGTCATACAGCTGGGATATTGCTGACGACGTACACGCTCCTGTCATACAGCTGGGATATTGTTGACTACGTACACGCTGCCGTCATACAGTTGGGATATTGTTGACTACGTAAACGCTCCCGTCATACAGCTGGGATATTGCTGACGACGTACACGCTCCCGTCATGCAGCTGGGATATTGCTAACTATGTACACGCTCCAGTCATACAGCTGGGATATTGCTGACGACGTACACGCTGCCGTCATACAGCTGGGATAATGTTGACTACGTACACGCTGCCGTCAAACAGTTGGGATATTGCTGACGACGTACACGCTGCCGTCATACAGCTGGGATATCGCTGACTACGTACACGCTGCCGTCATACATATTGAATATTGCTGACGACGCATGCGCTGCCGCCATACAGCTGGGATATTGCTGAATACGTACACGCTGCCGTCATACAGCTGGGATATTGCTGACTACGTACACGCTGCCGTCACACAGCTGGGATATTGTTGACTACGTACACGCTGCCGTCACACAGTTGGGATATTGTTGACTACGTACACGCTGCCGTCATACAGCTGGGATATTGCTGACTACGTACACGCTGCCGTCATACAGCTGGGATATTGTTGACTACGTACACGCTGCCGTCATACAGCTGGGATATTGTTGACTACGTACACGCTGCCGTCACACAGCTGGGATATTGCTAACTACGTACACGCTGCCGTCATACAGCTGGGATATTGCTGACTACGTACACGCTGCCGTCACACAGTTGGGATATTGTTGACTACGTACACGCTGTCGCCATACAGCTGGGATATTGCTGACTACGTACACGCTGCCGTCACACAGTTGGGATATTGTTGACTACGTACATGCTGTCGCCATACAGCTGGGATATTGCTGACTACGTACACGCTGCCGTCACACAGTTGGGATATTGTTGACTACGTACACGCTGTCGCCATACAGCTAGGATATTGTTGACTACGTACACGCTGTCGCCATACAGCTGGGATATTGTTGACGACGTACACTTTCCCGTCATGCAGCTAGGATATTGTTGACTACGTACACGCTCCCGTCACACAGCTGGGATATTGTTGACGACGTACACGCTCCCGTCATGCAGCTAGGATATTGCTGACTACGTACACGCTCCCGTCATACAGCTGGGATATTGCTTACTACGTACACGCTGCCGTCATACAGCTGGGATATTGCTGACGACATACACGCTCCCGTCATACAGCTGGGATATTGTTGACTACGTACACGCTCCCGTCATACAGTTGGGATATTGTTGACTAAGTAAACGCTCCCGTCATACAGCTGGGATATTGCTGACGACGTACACGCTCCCGTCATGCAGCTGGGATATTGATAACTACGTACACGCTGCCGTCATACAGCTGGGATATTGCTGACGACGTACACGCTCCCGTCATACAGCTGGGATATTGCTGACGACGTACACGCTGCCGTCATACAGCTGGGATATTGCTGATTAGGTAAACGCTGCCTTGGGCTAGAAATACAAATTGGCAGAAGTCCACACTAGCACAAGCAGCCACACCAATAACATTGATTCAAACTGTTTTATGCTTACGTGTGCCCAGTGCATGGAGGGATTTTTTCCCAGATACATTTTGTTAATTCCGATAGAGAAAAAATCATTACATTTGCAAAAATTATTCAAATGTCCAAGCTAAAATGGTGAAAACACACGCTCCGTAAAGCTATTGTTACACTTTCTAAAACATTGATAAAAAAAAACTTGGGCCTTAGACTCTTAGCAGCCATACATGTACGTACTGTCACTGTTGATCCTACGAAAAAAGTTAAGAAAAGCGCATACAGTGTTGAATGTGTGAAACGTCACCTTTGATCTTGTTATTGTGAATAATTTAATAACAATTAACAATCTGTAACTAGCCCTTTATGACTAACATCCTGTTTGGGGACAACAGACCATCTGATGCAATCGGTCATACCCGGAGCTTCCAACCTCAAAATGTTTGGAATTCGTTATCATAATAATACAGATGGAAATGTTTTTCAGTCACTTTGTAAAATAACTGAATATTTAGACGTTTAATAAATTTGTTACACATTTGACAGTAAAAAAAAATACACACTATAAAAAAGCAATGCTCAGGTGAAATATGTACTTTGTGTTGCAAGTCAAAATAGTGTAAACGAAAATCGCAAAATTACCAAGCAAGTGACTTATCAAAACTTCGTCACCATTACCGATGCTACCCACAAAGATACCTACATTTCCTTATTATCTCGAAAACTGTATTTCATTTTGTTCATCAATGTGACCATACGCCCTTATTACTACCCATAAAAGCGACTAATGCGCTTACGAATGGCGCAGCAGAGGTCGCGAACTAGTCTAGATTTCTGCTATACATCCGGGTACTCACTGGGTAAAAACAATAACATAGGCAACAACCAGTCCCGTGGAATTGCGTTAGATCAGTGCCCCTTTAAGTTCAGGGCTTGAGAGGGTCCAGGGGGCGTGGACGTGTCCATTCCATTTGGTACCTAACCGGTTTACCATTCCACAATTGACGATTTCAGTTTCATTCGTGTCCAGCCGGCTTGTTCCGTTACCTCCTAACTACATTTAATACGAAGCATTGGATCGGAGGACCCGCGCTGTTGGCGGTCAAAGGAAAGTAACTGTGAATCATGTTACCATTATTTTGCTAAACAGACTTACCTCCCTTTTGGACAAGGGACATAACTCTTGATTTCACGTGTGTGATTATCTCCCTTTGTATAGAGCACACGCCGTGTGTGAAGTTTTGAGCAAGACACTTTGCGGGAATCACGCTCCTCACAGCGATAGCCCGTTCGCAGAGCTCTCCATACTGAGAGTGTAACGAAGGTGTCACCAGGCTGGGAAGGAGCTTGTGCGGAAATCAAGCTCCTTCCCATCGCGTGACACCTTCGTTACACTCTCGGTATGGAAAGCTCTGCGAACGGGCTATCGCTGTGAGGAGCTTGTGCGGAAATGCGATAAGGGAGTTAACTCTTGTACAAGCACGATTACCTCCCTTTGACCATAAACAAAACCACCACCGACTACAACATGCATGGTTCTTTGCTATGTTTTTTCAATCCAAATCCATTTTAGAAGAGTAAGTGACTATGGTATGAAATGGGCTTCATACACTGCACCCATGTGGGGATTCGAGCCCGGGCCTCTGGCGTGATGTACGCGCGAAAGCTTTAACTACTTGTTCCCCCCACCCCACCCATTTTTAGAAGAATCACATAAGGGAGGGAGAATATAGTGCATATTGAATTTTAACTGATGGCAGAGAATGAAATGTTGTAGCTTTAGAATACAGTACCACAAACCTTTCAAACTCGTGACTGTTCCCTATGACGTAATTTGTAGTATTTTGTTGCCAGTCACACCTGCAGGGGTCATCAGGTGAGCATAAGCTCCTCCCAGTGATGTCATCTCTGCACACAAAGTCATTGAATAGCACAGCAATGTTGAGAGTTTTGAATATTTTTTTATTAACTATAGCCTGCGGCAGTGCATTTTATAGCAAGCCCTAGTTAATGAAAGAACTTTATTTTCAATATATTTTTTTATTTCGTTTTTCTTTCTTAATTGAAGTGGCTAAAATGATTTAAAATAGGAACTAATAAACATACATTATTTTTTCGATTCATTAATTTTCATTACTATGCACAGGACGAATTATTAAATACTGTGTCATTCACGAGTACCCGAGATGTCTGACGCCAAGAGCCGTTTTCAGTTGCGCCATATCGGCTCATTCCTCACTACTTGGTATCTTGTAGATTACAGAATGGGACGAGTGTGCCAAATGGCATTGGGATCACTTGCAGGTGTCCTTCACCTATTCGACCCTTTTCGTTCAGTTCCGTAACGGCATAGGCATGACTTGATAAATTTGCACTTAGTTTCACAGTGTGGATGTTGCTCAGTTGGTTAGCTGTTGGGCTAACAATCAGAAGGTTGCGAGTGTTCGCGTCCGATGGATTCTCACAAAAACTGGAGGCTTGTCTTTGAGACATGTGACCTACAGCATGAATCGTCCTCACGAGAAGTTGTGGTAGTGTATTCAACAAGTGCATAGACCATACAATCCAGTGTTTGACATTGTGATGGTGAAGATTGTGGTGGTGGTTTGTTTGTTTGTCTGTTGTTTAATGCCGCACACAGCAATATTCCAGCTATTTGACGGCGGTCTGCAAATAATCGAGTCTGGACCAGACAATCCAGTGATTGACATCATGAGCATCGATCCACACAATAGGGATCGATGACATGTATCAACCAAGTCAGCGAGCCTGACCACCCGATCCCATTAGTCGCCTTTTACGACAAGCATAGTCGCCTTTTACGGCAAGAATGGGTTGCTGAAGACATATTCTACCCAGGAATCTTCACGGGTCGGTGGTTGTGGAGATTGTGATCTGGGTAAGAGGACATGCTATCAACCAAGTGACCCATCCTAACTACCCTATCCATCTGATCGCCGCGTTAAACCATACTCACTCACTCACTCATCTGATCGCCTCTTACAACCACTGTCCACCAGCATGTGTTACTGGGGACCAATTCTAACCCAGAAGCTTCATGGGTAGATACAGCACTGACAATAGATTTGCCTCATGTAAATCCCTGGTTTAACAATCTCCACTTTTCACAAATCTAGTGCCATGTGGAATGGTCGAGAATGACAACCCGATCCCTCTTACAATAAACTGGATTGCTGAAGACCAGTTCTTCACTGGGGTATGATAATGGTAAGATAGCATACACTTTGCAATGTCACAGAATTGCAAGTGCCTCCATATTCTTGCTGAGATCTTGCTGGCTTGCAGTAACCACAGTTGTATACCTGTTTTCTCCCTCCTTTTGACATCTCAAATAAACACAACACACATCTCTAATGTTTAAACATATTTCATTCAAAACATCTCAAAACAACATTAATATGGCATAAAACATATGCCAGACAATGATCCATTATTGAATCAGAAGCTTTCCTATTCTCATGCCAAGAATTCAAGAGGTTGCCTTACTTTGCTTGTAATGTCAATAGATGTTTATGCCAGACAACCATAATAACCTGTTTAACAGAACTGCCTGCAACTCATATGCCATTTTCAATGTTCAATGACACCCCCAAAAAGAAGTCTGTAATGGGATCTTATTGTGTCTTAACTTTTTATGTAAAAATGTACTGTTACATTAACATTTTAACTAAAGTTTGTTCTCTCCCACGTGCTCACCAAGAACTTCAGCTGAAGTGGAAGAATACCATTTTCTTCCAAAACATTTGGGTATAATAAAACATGTGAAATGTCTACTTTCCTCACTTTTCAATGATTAATTACATGGCCACTTAAAACAATAATGGCATCCCATTTGGGCACAGCATGAGTAACCATGGTAACAAGCTCTTCATCTGAAACACATTTCATCTCTTGGCCAGAGTGCGAAGTTGTTTTTTCTTCATTCTCTTTATTTTTGCTGTGCTCTTAATCTGCAAAAGTTGAAAATAAGATATGCAAATTATAACTCACAAAGCTCACAACATTGGTCAAGAAAAGGAATATGACGTATATCTGATATTATCACTATTCTTATTTCAAGGTTCATGTCAGCAGTCAGGTCAGTCATTACCTATGAACATTTTATACATGACATGCATTTCTGTTATCTCACAACAACTCAATTCAAATTAAAGCATACCCAAGGGCGTAGTTAACTTTTTTTGACAGGGGGGGCAAATAAGATTATTCATATTTTATTCAAGTAACTTTCACAAGGAAAAATGTTTTCTGTAAAAAATCCAAGGGGGGAGGGGGCTGGCTACGGCACTGATACCATGGCACGTCAGCTTGATGTGCGAGGAAAACCCATAGTATTTACAACTCTGGTGAAAGTTGTTGTTTAATGCCACGCTCAGCAATATTCCAGCTGTATGGCAGTGGCCTGGAAATAATCGAGTCTGGACAGACAACTCAGTGACTGATTTTGTGAGCAACGAACCACGTTGGGGTATGATGACACATCAACCAAGTCATCGATTCTGACCGGCACATCCATTTGGTCGCCTCTTACAACAAGCATAAGTTTCTGGGGACCAATTCTAACCCAAAATCCCACTGCGGTATGGACCATCCGTGTCCTCATTGTAGGAGGATGCAACCCCAATGTACACACATCACAACTTACAGTTTGCACTACTTCAGATTTCAAAGCATTCAGTTCCCTTCTCTTCTGGTTGTCCTCAGCCCGTTTACGTTTTCTCTGAAAAGTCAGACAAGCGAGTTAGATAGTGTGCTTCTAATGAGTTGTTGAGTTACATTTAGGATCCATTTTACACAGGGTTTCGTTTGTTGTTTAACGTTCGCCACACTCAGCATTATGCCAGCTATATGACCTCAGTCAGCAAAATGCCAGGTCTAGAACAAACAATCTAGTGATTGATATGAGCAACATCCCACTCTGTCAGAGTACAACACACAGTCAACCACATCAACGAGTCTGACAACCTGATCCATTCTGATACCTTCCAACAACCAACACAGGTTGCTGGGGACGTATTCTAAACCCAGGCGCCACAGGGCTGTATAATGGTTCCCATCATTAGTGAGTGAGTGAGTGAGTTGGGTTTAACGCCACTTTTAACCGTATTCCAGTTATATCGCGGCGTGTCAGCTTAATGTGGGAGGAAAGCCCAAAGTGATGCAGGTCACAGACGTTTACCACTTCGGTGAAACCCACGAGCACAGGTATGGTGCTGAGAAACCTAGAAACATAATCGGGGCGAACCTTGATTCGAACCCACAATCATAGGTTTCTGACGTGCTCAAGGGACGCAACTGTGCACAGTGAATCGCGTCGCCTTAGACGACTGGGCCACCCATGCCCCGGTTCCCATCATTAAGCTGCTGTTGATATATCCATAAAGAATATAATTCTGTTCTCAAAGATGATCAAAGTCAAGTACACTTGTTGGTTATGTTCATTTTCTTTACTGTCAATTTCTATAAAAAAATCGGTCATATACAGTTTTGTATAGATTTATTGGAGTTTTTACGTCATTTTGGGGGGTCAGTTGCATAGGGCAAACAAGCCATTTGCTAGTTTCAACCTCACACACTCATGTCATGTATATTTTATGCCTTGATAACCACCTTGTGATGTATTTCCTTTACTTCTCATATTGAACTATCTCCGTATCTATAACACCAAAGCTCATACTATTTACTCTTACACTCATCACAATGACAATACACTACATTAGGGCTGGGACGGGTCCAAGTTTACTACCCGGGTACCCACCACCCTATTACCCGACCCTACCCGGGTAACCGCTGTAGATTTTCAGAGATAGGTACAAACTGTCCAATTTGGAAAAGTTTGACCGTAGCCCTGGCAAAATGTATTTAGATACACGTGTAAGACGATCCGCTCATGCATACACTGAAGTTTAATGCATGAAGTTTTATCTTTATTCAAACATATAAAAGTCAGAAGAAATGGGATATTAGTGACTTGTAGTGTAACCATAGAGTTTTAGATAATTTTTGTCATCAAACAATATATATATCACGTGACTAACTACGGGTCCGGGGTAGTCCTGTGGGGACCCGGGTCCTACTCAGTACCCACCCGACCAAGGTACCCGAGTTACCCGTCCCAGCCCTACACTACTTACCTCAAGTTCTTCATTTCTGGCTTCCTTCAATCTGTTCTGGAACTCTTTTATGGATTTTTTCTCTGCTTTTTCTGACATTTTCTTATTCCATGATGATTTCAGTGACTTAACCTTTTTTATCTCCGAATGTCTGAAAAATACAATTTCCTTCAAATATTGGCAATGCCAGAACAGTAGTAAACAGTAAACTACAGTAACATAAGATTGCTATGTTGCTAACACAGAATACGGCACTGGGGCATCTTTAGTTGATGACTATCATCAAGAATCAGAATGATTGCATGTGAAAAACAAGACATTACTAACATTAAACATGTACGAAGGGTCGAAACTGTAATTTTGTACACAAACAGATGAACTTAACCAGATGCTGACGGAACGATTACCTTGCTTGTCGTGGTGATTTCCACGCTCTACCTGACTTAGGTTGCCCCCTGGGAATATTATGTAAAGAATTTTTGACAGTCTCTGTCTTTTGGGCAATTAAATCGTCCGATTTAGCCATATTCACAGGCACTTGACGATCCACACGTGTTTTGATCTAAATATAACTATTGTTAGATTAGTACTTTTCATACATATCTTTTATTTTTTTTCTATCAACGTTAAACGGACAAGAAAGTGTTTTATTACCTCCCTTTGACTAGCGTGACGAGAAGCGTATTGCGACTTCGACCTCAGATCGGGGTCAATCAAATTAATAAATGAAACTAAATAATAACAAATCATCACAATATTATAGAAAACAATTTAGAGTAAAGCGGAATTACTGTTGCACTCGGTAATTCAATACACATAAACATTAACAATTAGCTTACAACACCAATTTGATTCAACCTAAAATTTAATCAAAACCAACTTTAATTGTCGGGATAGTCAAATATTTTTGAAATATAAAGGATTAGGTGATTAACCCAGTTATAGGTTAACATTCCAAAAGAAAAACGTCCCATGGTTTTAACTCTGTGAATACTGGATATGTTAGCAATATCTTGTATTGGTATGTGACAGATTATGTTTTCCACTTTTATCTACGTATGTATGTATATGTATTCTTCATAATATATTTATATTACAAGCTCTGTGCAACGACGCGACACGTCCACCAATCCTATGATGCTTTAGCTGACACTTCCACCATCCCATGACGCTATAGCTGACACGTCATCCAATCCCATGACACTATACCTGACACGTCCACCAATCCCATGACACTATACCTGACACGTCAACCAATCCCATGACACGTCCACCAATCTCATGACACTATAGCTGACACGTCAACCAATCCCATGACGCTACACCTGGACAAATTGACCAATCCCGTGAAGCTTTAGCTGGAGCTGTTGGCCAATCCAAAGTCGTGCCGGTTGTCGACCAATCATGAAAAATAAACAACTGAGCCCTTCGACCATGTCGACCCTCCACCGGTTCTATCGGTCAGAAAACTGAGACATAACAAAAGCTCACAAGTTCATCTAATTCAGTAACGCTACAGCCAAGACTAGGTATCTATGTTTTAACGGTCGATTATGTAATAGTGGGTGTGTGGGTGGGTTTCAATTTAGATACCCACCCGGGGAGATCCGGGGTAGAATAGGTCTTCAGCAACTCATGCTTGTCGTAAAAGGTGTCTTTGCTTGTCGTAAGAGGCGACTAACGCGATCGGGTGGTCAGGCTCATTGTCTTGGTTGATGCATGTCATCGGTCCCAATTGCGTGGATCGATGCTCATGATGTCAATCACTGGATTGTCTGGTCCAGACTCGATTATTTACAGACCGCCGTCATATAGCGGGAATATTGCTGAGTGCGCCATTAAACAACAAACAAACATTTCGGGACTACTGAGAAAGCTCGATGTGGGTTAAACATCGCAAAATCTAAATTCCTTAGAATCAAAATGTGAAAATGATGACAGAGATTTGTACCATCGCATTAATGTCAATGTAGCAGGGCGTGTAGTCATCCCACAGATGACATCCTTACCTTGTCAGCTTGCTGACGGGGTTAACCTCTTTGGTCATGTGGACAAGGCGTCCGACCTCTGATCAGAAGGTTCGTGGTTCGAATCCCATCACGGGACTCGGAAATTTTATGGCCGCTACATTAATAACGCATAATGATAGCGCAAGTTATACATACCGCACTACACACCTTTGTGATAAGCCGAATTCAAGATATACAGCAAACACAAGCATTCATTTGCCAAGGGATATTTTTGAATTGGCATGGTCTTTCTGTTATTTTTCAGAAAAATCCGTCTTTTCTGGGCGTTTGATTCATAATAAATGTTCCCTTTCTCTGTAACATAATGATAAATAAATACATGTATATATTTTCAATATAAAATAATGATACATAATTATATTTTATTTGATTTAAAATGATGATAATTAAGTATATATTTCTAATATAACATAATGATAAGTAAATATATATTTGGATTTAAAATATCATTATGTTACACTGAAAATAGAATATATATGTATCATTATTTTACATTTTTTATGTAATAAATCCTCAGGTAAGACGGACGGAAAAAGTGCAGTCAATTTGTGGAAAAATAATCGCTCAGATTTAGTTTACATGTCACTCACTCGTCTCTTAACAAATGTAGGGAACAGCAGAACATAATTAACACGTCGAACCAGACCTGGACATCTGATGAATAGCCCTGTCGGTGTGTGGGGGAGTAATTACTTCCTTACATAATTAGCTTAATTAGTGTCTAAATCATATAAGCGTTGTATATCCGGTGGAGTGTTGGCATTACGAACTAGCTTACCTACCAAGAAGGAACTAAAGGTACTTTTTTGTTTACGTTACAGATAGAAAATATTCATTGTTGGTTGTGTTCATATATTCAGCTGCGATTGATGTTCTTCGTGTCCAGATGAATACCAACTGTTGTTCGTGTAAGGTCCATAACATTTTGTAAAATATTTCTCTGTGGCTTAGTATTTGTACATCCGGGATATTAGCAAGATTCGCAAAGACGCCATCTTTGTTGGCGAAAATGGATCTCCTGGCAAGCTATTCCGACGATGGCGATAGTGCCAAGAATACGCCAACCAGAATGGATCAGGTGAATATATACTGCAAATATTAGTGATAGGGTTTATTTATGTTGTAGAAATATTCAATTATTTTACTTGATAATTGTGCATGATCGAATCAAAATAAAACACTGCCCACCCAATCTTTCAAGTTTCATTTCTGTAGGACGTCACTCGTATTTATGACTTAATTCGTTACAGTATCATTCAGGGATAGTTTAAAATCGAATCAGTGCAATTCACTTTCACGTTTTAATATGAGTGCGTCATACTTTGATATCACCCTTATCTGCCGAGAAACATTTTCTCCATGAGAAATTGTTAGGTGTTGTACATTTTGTAATGACCTTGACCTCAGTAAACATGGGGAAAACGAATTTGGCAACAGGTGGTCGACCATTTTAGAAATTCAGATAACCCATTTATCATGTGAATGAAAGTTCATTAACCAGAATGTGTGAATGTATGGATGGATGTTACATACTAGCAAATACAAAAATATTCACGATCTATAAGGGTTTGCAACATTAGTGTATAGGTCTTCATAAATGCCGAAGCCATGAAATATTCTTAATAAGTGAGATGAACACTAATACTGTGTGATAATAATCACATGCGAAAAAGAAAATGGTTATAACTGGCTCTTTTGCTTTTGATTAACCTCAAGTCAAACTTGACTAGACAAGAAGAGCAAATAAGTTGGCCCCAGATGTTTGAGAAGGGGTAAACAAACGATCATCGACATCTTCTACGGTTTGTGAGTATGTGCCTGACTGGTAAAAAATGATAACTTGCATTATATATATTTATCATTAATACACTACGGTTTATCATTCATGTCATTCCGATTTTACCGTTGCATGTTGATCATGCTCGATGCCCTGTATCTTTTCTAGCAATCAGAAAAGAGCCAACAACTGTCTCAACATGCTCAAGGGACATATAAGTGATGATAATGCAGTAAGGTTCCATAGACCCTTGTAACATTTATGCTTGATTCATTTGTTATCAAATATTGATTACCAAAATATTAAAAGAATGTTAGGAATTAGATTGATGAAGAGGATTAACCATTTCAGTTCTCATTTCCTTTACTAAATTTCTAGGTGAATATCATTCAATTTCAGATGCTGCCAAAAGTTGAGTCAACCAAGTCTGATGCCTGCTTGGAAGCAGAATGGGAATCCTTTGAGAAGATGATCAGCGGAACTGGATCACCTGACGCACAGGCTCCACCACCTTTACCTGTTGGTCCTCCTGAATTGTCGGTTTCATCTGAACAATCATACTTTTCTAATATGTCTGAACCTCCTACACTTTCGAACATTAAGGACCAAACTCAGTTTTTCAATCATGCTGACCCACCCACGTTAACTAATTCCACCGAACCAATGACCATTTCTGATGATGAAAGTACTTCTACTGTTACAAGTCCTCAGAATCCTCTCAAGCTGACAGACATCATACTGCCTTCTCAGTATGATGATGAGATGCCTGTACTCACCAAGATAACTGGATCACCATTGTCATCAGAACATTCCAGGTCAAGGTCCTCCTCCTCAAGTTCAAGGTCCTCCTCAGCTGACTCAGGTAATGCTCCTCAACAGATTTTTGTTACTTGTTGAAATCATGAATGTATGACCTGAAATTTGAATAATGAACTTTTTACTTGCCCTGGAGATATGATAGATAACTGTCTTAGGAAGAGTACCAAGCCAGATTGAGTAGACAGAATAACATATGTTCTTTTCAAACTATTCATGAATTTTGACATGATGGGCATTTTGTTCTAACAGTTCGAAAGTGGGATCATCAGATTATGTTTTTGAATTTACCTTACACTTCCCAAAAATATTTTCAGACATTGTCGTTCCTGAATCTGTTCTGCAGTCAGAATAATTGTAAGTTGTTTTCCTTTCAGTGAGAAGCGAAGAGAGGAAAAAGTCACTTTCACCAGTGTCATCAAAAAGAGAGTCATCACCCAGGAAAGACTCTTCCAATTCTAAGAGAAAGGTATCGGTGTCACTGTGAAAGGGTTTTCTTGTCACTGACAGATCAGTGTTATCAGAAATTAATACCTCAACTGGTGTCTCGGGCTTTTCATCTTGATCAGTGCTGGTGGAACTAGGAACTGTTTCAAAAGGCAAAACAACACAGCTGATTTTCAACCATATGTTTTCCCTTTTTGAATGTGAAGATGTCCAGTTTCTGTTGAAGCTCAAATAATCAGTGACATTAAGACACCTCTTTTACACATTGATATTATAATGAAGGAAATTGTCATGACCATGCACTGAGAAAGATAAAAGCACAACAGTTGAAAATTAATTTCTGGGAAGAAATGCCTTAGAATTACAGCAAAAAATCCCCAAGTACCCACATAAATTCACTTTCTTTCCTTTGGTAATTCTCCCTTGAGGACAGCATTGTGTGAATAAGGTTATAGAATTAGGGATAATTTGGGCTTGTGTTACAATGAGTATAGCATATCTCGATCCATTGTGGACTTAGTCTGACCTGTCGCTTGCATATCACATAGGTTTTGCGGATCCTATCGCTGTTAAAGGAGATTGTCAGCACCATGTGGCAACAGAACTGTTGCCACACACTTTTGTTGATGACTGGTGAGTATGAAACAGGTGTATGTATAGTTTGTAATAGTTTGGTGTTCTTACACTTGTATTCTAGCCGCCCTTTTCACTTGCGAATACAGCAAGGGGTTTAGGGGTGGACAGCGTTGTATTTGCGCCATGCGGTGTGTTCAGAATTGAATTTACTTATGAAGTCAATGAGGATGGATTTGTCAGTTTTTTTATTTGATTTTGAGAACCATGTGGCTCATGATTTTTTTCTAGGTTTATATTGTGAAATGGTACAAGTTCTAGTTTACTGACATGGGCAAGGCATTCCCAGGTGCTCCTGTGAAATACATCTTTTGAGTTTTAAAGCAGATATTGTTCGTTTGTCTATTTCTTAATCTTGTTTTGAAGGTTCACATTTTTTTCTGTACATGACTTCACAGAGTAACTTTTTTCTGAAATAATGACAAGATATACGTCAGTCTTTCAAAAACATATTTGTTTCCTTGTCAGATTGTAAGGTAATTCTTATAGTGAGACAAGAATATGTTCTCATTCGTAGCGTTGTACCGACTTTTAGGACTGAAATAAATTGCTTAATACATACACTGGACTATTTAAGAAAATGGGATTTTCATCATGTTTGCTTGAATATATTTTATGTATTTGGGAATTGTGTTTTTAGCAGTTACTCTGATTGAAGAAGGTGAGCTGTGTATTAATCGTTCAAGTGCTGATGGTGTGTGCCTCTGACGCAGGGTGGTTCAGTAATGTTATTATGTCTATTGGGCACAAGTATGTTCCAAGAATTACGATCTCTTTGTTATGTCTTGCTTGAAATGAGAAAGATACATGTCTCAATTATGGACATAGTTAAGTGCAACTTGCCATGAAGTGTTTCTAATTTTTTTTCTTCATGTTTTGCAGGATGAGAAGCGAGATAAGCGGTCAAGATCAAGGTCACCTCATCGGTCAAGATCAAGATCACCACATCGCAGGAGGCGTCGTTCCTCGGACAGGAAGAGGTCAAGGTCAAAATCAAGAGGAAGGCGAAGGTCCTCTGAGAGAAAACAAAGGTCAAGGTCTCATGGGAAGGTATGTTACTTAAATGTCTTGTATTTTTCCTTGAGTCCGTAGATACTTTGAAATCTTGTAAAGAGTATGCTTGTGTGTATAATTGTTTGGTAATTGAATGTCACTTTTCAAATGCACTGCATTCTGTAACACTGTGAAGTGTTAGTATGAGTTTATTCACCGAAGTGGTAAACGTCTAAGACCTGCATCACTTCAGGCTTTCCTCATACATTAAGCTGACATGCTGTGATATAACTGCAATACTCTTCAAAGCAGCCTTAAACGCAACTCATTCAGTGGTATGAGTTTCAGTATCCTCAAGTTTGATCGTCTAACAGCAGCAGCAGGTCAAATGAAAATAGCTGTGCAGCATTAGAAATTGGCACTAGTCCTATAGTCCTTCCCAAACTGCCCAATAGTTAAGGTATCATAAGGACTAGTAGAAATTTGCCATTTTTAAGGTCTTGCTATATGTTATCATTATAAGGACTAATGGAGTATAACTGTTAGTTTCCATTGCTTCTGTGTCCCCTGTAGCCAGTAATAATGTAGATGACTTACATATATAAGTTGTAAACCCATCCGGGGGGGAGAATGTGTTTCTAGTTGTAACAGTATGAATCCTTTTCATGATGTAAATAATGACTGGTCCAGAGCTACAGATAAGCTGCGTATTTGCGTAAAATACCCCCCAAAAATATTCAAAACCCAATCACTTTCAATTAACATGCATACAGAAACGCTTGCATTAAATGAAAAACTCAAATGATAAAAACAGCATACGTAAATACTCATTGAAGCTCTTTCAGCATGTGTACATGGGGTAAATTTCCGAAACACAAATACGAGCTAATTCTCTTTACCAGTCAAGCCTTTAGTTAGAGCCCTTATATTCATCTGAAACATTATTTTATTTTTCTTGAAATATCAAAATGTTAGCTCATTTTGGGGAAAAACAATAGAGTGATGAATAGATGAGTGAAAAAATATTGGTTACCCAATGAAAAATGTAATAACCCAATTAAAATAGAAACCTTCGGGTAAAAACTCAATTGCTCAAACAGTTATCTGGAGCTCTGCTGGTCATCCTGTCATTAATGATCGTTATTGTTTTCTATTGGTGTTCTAGGTTTGAAAGAAGGCATGAAATTTAAAAGGTCCTTGTCATATCCCTGATTTTGATATTCAACCTTATAAGGAAGAATGATTTCTGACAATGACTGTTGCGATACAGTCAGTCTGGCCATTTACATGACTGAATCGTTTTATTGCAGAGGAGCCACCATGGTTCATCAAGATCACATCGAAGACGCCGCAGCGGCTCTCGCACCAAACGCAGGCAGTCTCGTGAGAAGCGTTCCTCACGAGATACCCGTAGACGTTCAAGTGATCGCAGTCACAGGCGAGATAGACGAGATCACAGTAAGGAAAGACGTAGGAGAAGCCGAAGCAATGAACGAAGGCGCAGTAGATCTCGAAGCCCTACACGTGGCAAGAAATGCATCACAAGGGCTGTTGGGTCAAAGCCACTGACGTTCAAAGAACAGATGAGGCAACAGTTGTTGAAGGCCAGCAAGATGCTGTCAGAGCAGGCAGATGGATCTGAACCAAAAGGTATGGGTAAGTGTGTAAATTATGTGTAAATGTAAATCATATGAGCTGACTAAATTGCGGCTTGGTTGTTTCCATTGGTTAATCCAATGCATTTCAATGAAGACCCTCAAATCATGTGACTGACACTGACCTTGAATATTGACCCCTCACATGATCAGTATTGACCTGTCACGTGATGAACATTGACTCGTGTACTAGAAAACAAGATGATGTCTAGTATGCTAACATTTTACAGTTCGCAGCTAAGTTACTGTAATGAAACATAGCGCTGTTTAAATGCTTCATAAACTTTAAAGTGATTTTCAGTATAACAAAACGAATGATTACTCTTGAAGATGTCAATATGCGAAAGCATGGACCCAAGGCCCTTCTTTCCGCATATTGTCCTCATCAAGAGTAATTATTTGTATAATGTATGTAACAGAATTATGTATTCGCTTGTCGGTGTACTTGTAAAGACACCTAATACATTAATAAACTTGCATAAATGAATCCTATTTCAGAGTTGCCAATTGACACACAGAACAACATGCCCTTAAGTGCGTCCAGCGTGTTTGCTTCAGTCAGTGCCGGGGGCAACGTCACGCCACAAATGGCTCTCCTGCAAACCATGGCTGCAATGCATCAAAAAGTAAGAAGTCTTCTTTTTTTTACCCATGTTGGTGATTGGGTATTTGCAGTGGCAGTTCACTATGATTTACTGGCTGACCACAAGTTAGAGACATGACGCTCATCATTGACAGAAAACTTGATCTAGATAAAGTATACAGGCATGGAAGTGCCTTTATTTTCAAGTGAGAATGGGGGCACTCTTTAGGTCTGTCTCAAACAAACGTGTGCTAAGTTTCAAGACAGATACACTTTCTTCCCTATCACTGTTAATATCACTGATGAATCCATTGTTTGTTCATGTTTTTCACCAATGTGTATTAGAGTCTTTGCTAAAAATGTTGAGATAATCGTTTTTGTTCTCAAACTATGTTAAAAATTAAAAGTTGAAATGTCAGTTGTATGTGTGGACACCAAATGAAAATCTCACTATGCAATGTTTACCGCCATATGCAGTAGAAACAAACAGAATTAAATACTGTGTGTTATTGTGTGATCCAGGCCCAAGAGATGACGGGTGTGGCTGTGCCCAGGTTCTATAACCCTGCTGCAGTCAACCCTCTCAAGTACGCGGAGCAGGTGCAGAAGAGGAAACTACTCTGGGGCAAGAATAAGGAGAAGAAAGAGGCAAGTCCCCTTGTGTTGTGCAATGTAGACAAATTCAGCACTATTATACAAGTATACGAGAAGCTTGCTTTTGGGCTGTTGACACTTTTGAGTATGTTCGATAATAAAGAATATTTTCTAAAATTTTGTTCATTTATAAAGGTACTTAGATTAATGCAAACTCGAAATTATTGGTTTTTCAGGCAGTATTAAAATCAGTTTTAGTACTATGGAGTTATGATGGCATTTAAGAAAGCACTAGTGAAAACTTATATAAAACAAAGGATATATATAAATGTCAGTACAGTAGTTAAGAGATTTGACTTCTTGATTACATTTAAATCATATCGGGCAGGTAAGCCATTCAGTGGAAATTATGTGTAAACTGTGTGTTTGTTTCAGGATGAAGGTCAAGGTCAGTGGCAGGGGACAGCCTTTGTGTCTGACAATGATGGCAAGATGGCTGCCAAGTTCCGTAAGCTCATGGGGATGAAGGAAGGAGCAGATAAGGATTCAGATGAAGAGAAAAATGAGGAACAGAAGAAGAAAACTGAAGAAATGTTTTACAGACTTGATAAGGAATATGAATTTGCCCGGATGACCACGCATACACATCGAGGTATTGGTCTTGGGTTCCAGTCACAGGGATTGCCAAATCCATGATCAGGTCATCCACTGACCCAGATGTATATAACAGGCCATATGAAGGAGACCTGATCTCCTGGAAGTGGTTGAGAAAAGTGTCTGCATAAATCTGCATGTGTTTGCCAAATTGTTTGTAGCAGCATAATTTAAGCACTGGCAGCTGGTGATAATTACTATTTATTGTGTTGTTGCATTGACAATTGGTCCTTTGTGATAGGGTTGAGTGGGTTGTAAATATTGTAACATTGGTGCTTTGTCTATTCTAAGAATTGAAGCAGCATTGTTCAAGCTATCGTCAGGATAAAGAATTGCAATGCCTTGAATTGATTATGCAATTTCTGTGAAGTTGATTCCGTCTCGGCACTTGCGTTTTTGATTTTTGTCTTATTTCCGCAATAAGTAGATGAGCCAATCCATGCTGCCACTACTAACTAGTTTTTTTTAATATATGTTTTGATAATCAGAATGTGTTTGTTCCAACAAACTAGCCATCTTATTCATGGTTTTCCAATGTTCTTTGGTAAGTAATGTTGGGGTCTGACCATGATGTTGATGTGTATGGTATACAATACACATCAGCAGAAGAAGAAAGAGAAGACAGTTTGAGTATTAAGTCCTGTGGCTGTGACATAAGGCATGTTTTGAAACAAGATTGCTATTTAGTGCTACATTCTATTCAGAGGAATAATGAACACTCACAGAAAAGACACAAGTTGTTTTGAAATCCAGAGTTTCATCCTTGTTTGATGGTGATGTCGAACTGTTGTATCACTTGTTCTGTGATTAATAAGTTGACTTTAGTTAGTAGACCGCAGTACAGTTACTGAGTTAATCCAGTGTGTGTGTGTGTACATACTAAGTACTAGATCTAATTCTGGAGTTGAGTGTAGTACGCATCGATATATTGTAGTATGTATATATTTGTTACGCTGTATGCCTGAGTGAGTGATGTATGTTCAAAAGTACATTTTGTAAAAGCATTAATTTTGTGTACATTTTGTATTATATACAATTCCTAACATTGAGACATCCGGTTTGGACTGAATAAAGAAACTAAAGAATACAGGTGGAAATTGGGTTTTTTTAATCCTGTGACTTGGTTTGAATGGGTGTTATCTGTAGCTGGTGGCCATATTACAGCAGAATGAAGAGTAATCTGCATCTCTTGGTTGTAGCAAGCTGCCCTGGGGAGACTCTGGGCTGGAATATCACTTTTCATGTGATCCCTCTATACACAGTGCCAGAAGAAAGCATTAATGTTGTGGACTTTTTCTGGTACCTCTCAAGGCCCACAAAATACAATACAAAACTGTAGTGCCTATAGTTCTGGAGAAACATGTTTTGACAGTGTACTTCCACAACCCTGTAGATTTCACTTGAATCACCGTCATGTCAACAATAATGCTACAGTGATTGATTACTAAACATGTTAAACAAAATACAAATATATATATATATACATTTCAACAGATTTATTGCAGGTATCACTATTACAGATAACTGCATCCTTTGAAAAAAATCATGTTGACATAAATGCAGGAATATCAAACCTTGTATATGAATAAAAATGTTGCTATGTACAAAGCTGTACATGATATAATCAACAAAGGAGAAGGGTTGCCCAAAGTTGGTGACACTTCAAGGGAGAGAACTGCGTATGTTTGGGGAATAACTCTCAAAAATACAAATACACACAAAATATTAAATTTAATAGCTATTACTACATCCAAATGGTTGTAACTATTTGACAATCCCTATTTAGACGAATGCTTCTGAAAAATTAATGATACACTTAAAGCAAATATATGCCCACAATTCACCTAAATAGATGTTTCTCATAGGCAATTCACAAACAAGAATGCTTGAGACATTTGGGCCCTCATGTCAAAATAAATCACTTTGAAGAAAGGTATCTGCTAGGGTGTATTGTGTACATTATAAGGTCTATAAACCATGGTGTGTATTCTTTCCATGTCATCCAATATTTTGCATTTAAACATTCACTTTCTAGCATGCCACATCATCATAATGTGCTGATATCATGAAACAAGCTTAAACTGAAGTGCAGTCTAAGAGAAAGAACGTGTTGGTAAAGTGTCAAACTGGGAAATCACTTTCCCGTCAGGATTTGTTTGTTAGTTGTTTAACGCTGCACTTAGCTATATGACAGAGGTCTGTAAATAATCGAGTCTGGACCAGACAATCCAGTGATTGACATAAGCATCGATACAATCAATTGGGATACGATTACATGCACCAACCAAATCAGCAAGCTAGCACCTGATCCCGTTAGTCGCCTCTTACGACAAGCATAGTCTCCTCTTAAGACCAGCATGATTTGCTGAAGACCTATTCTAACCTGGATCTTCACAGTTACCCCATCAGGATAAAACTCTTACAGACAAAGTTAATTTTAGTTTCATCTGCACCCATGAACATAGGTAATAGATTGACTCAAAACGTCTTTTAAGCCTTCTGATACACAACAGTTTCAGTTGCACAGTGAACACAAGAATGTACGCACACCTTCAATAGCCTCTTCAATAGCACCTAAAGTGTTGATTGCTGTTGGGATGTCCTTGGGGTATTTGTATTTAGTGATCCCTAAATCTTTAACTTCGTGTTATGACAAGGACCCCTTGACTTTCATGCTTATATTGAACACTGAATAGCGTTTTATGCAATCTGGGCCTATATATGCATTACAACTTCTACCCAAGCAGAGATTTGAACTCAATTCTCTGGCTTTTTAGCAAGTACCAAGAGTGAGTGAGTTGGGTTTAACGCCACTTTTAACATTATTCCAGTTATATCACGGCATGTCAGCTTAATGTGGTAGGAAAGTCCGAAGTGATGCAGATCTCAGACGTTTACCACTTCAGTGAAACCCACAAGCACAGGTATGGTGCTGACAAACCTAGAAACATAATTGGGGCGAATGGGGATGCGAACCCGCAATCATAGGTTTCTGGTGTGCCCAAGGGACGCAATTCTGCACAGCGAATCGCAGCGCCTTAGATGACTTGGCCACCCGTGCCGCCTAGCAAGCACGGAGAAGTCACCTAAGATATATAAATGCACATTCCTTTGATTGGGGCATGCAGTTCTTGCATGATTAGGTTATCACAGGAGTGTATGGATTACCTGTAAATGTCATTAGCTGGTCTTGCACATCCTTATTATTAAAGTTTTATTTTAAAGGTGAGCTTCTGTACCTTTGTTACTCTGGCTCCTTTTCCTTTCATACAATACCCACAGTATTGAACAGTCATCAAACAGCTGGACGTCTCAGCACAATGTCAGTAGTATACTGTAATCTTACATGCTGAGGTAACTGCAGAAACCACAGACATGAGAAATTTACCTCGGAATACTGGAATTCCAGGATTTGCCCTCTCAGAATGATGTAAGGCTAAAAGAAATAGTCTTGGTTCTCAGGCACCGTTCGCATCATTATAAAGTTCGCCACCTGTTTCGTTTTTATTTCCATTTTTAAAAAAACAAACCCAAAAATCCTTAAATATTCCAAGTCCAACGGCAGTCAGATACTGTGTTCCAGTCTTTTGCTCATCAGGGAATACATTTAAGCAGGGAGGCCCTTTCCCAGGTTGATTGTACATAATTGTTTATTGATTACACAACTGTTTATTGCTTACATACTAGTTTTAACACACACACACACACACAAAAAAGACACTGCCCACCCGCACTATATTTTCAAAAAACATTGCCTAAGAACCAATTCTATTATTTTTTAAGCCTAAAATGCACTTATCTAAATCCTTGTTATAAAAATTTTCTTGGGGGGGCATGCCCCCAAACCCCCAAAGATTGACGATGTTCATCCAAAAAACAGTTTTGCTGTTCTCATGTCTGAAACCATTTTTCTTTCTTAACTCCAATACATGTACTTATTCCTATAAATATTTATCTGGAGTACTCATACATTTGTACTTGCATCATTTCATAATATTCAACGTTATCTGATGTTGTCATGCTCAACCCTCTGACCTTGAGGTCTGGGCAAACAACGGAAAAACATTTATTTGTGTAGTTTGTTTAACATCGCACTAAGCAATATTCCAGTTATATGACGGCGGTCTGTAAATAATCGAGTCTGGACCAGACAATCCAGTGATTTACACAATCATGAGCATCGCTCCACGCAATTGGGATACGATGACGTGCATCAACCAAGTCAGCGAGCCTGACTACCGGATCCTGTGAGTTGCTTTTTACGTCAAGCATGGGTTGCTGAAGAGGTTATTTGTGTAAAAAGTGTAAGTAGCAATAAACAATGATACAGAATGAACATTCGTCAGTGGTACATGACATAATCATCGCTTCATCTGTAGACATACACGTCCTCAAACTCAACACAGATGAACCATTCTGACAACAAATCATTTCATAAATTGTGATATGGCCATTCTAATTTAATATGAATTTAATATACACTGTAATGCTTTTCACCTTCAGCAGTTAAACTGCTACAACATCTACATATACAGAGTAACTACTTACTGCATAGAAAAAAACATAAGAAGGTCAGATCAATTAAATACTTGTCTTAATTTTAGCCCAATACTTAGATCAGGAGGAATTCAAAAAATGTTCTCAATATACAATAAATGAATGATAAGATATATTACTGCATTGTGCATGGTGTCCTATCATTATTTCTTGTCAGTTTTGTTTCAAAAATGGCTTAAAACCAACCGTAAAAGTGACAGATGGATCTGTGAAACGAGTAATTAAATCAGTCATTATTGTACTTGATAACATAGGATAGGGTAGCATTAGAGTGGTGATGTTCTACAATATGCCAGTCAATTATATTTTTATTTGTTTTCTTACAAGAAATATGTGACAATTGATCTGACTTAAACTGAGGGTTTTATCAAAATTATTTCAACCAAGTTTTCTGAGCACAAAATCTTGCAATAATGACTATAATATCTACACTGCATCATGAAGTATATATTGTGATACACATTAGGGCTGGGATGGGTAACTCGGGTACTCGGGTACCTCTAGTCGGGTGGGTCCTGAGTAGGACCCGGGTACCGACAGTACTACCCGGACCCATGGTTAGTCACGTGACATATTGTTTAATGACAAAAACTCACTAGAGACTACAAGTCGCTATTGTTCCCATTTCTTTCTGATGATGCACACATTCATTTTGACTTGTATATGTTTGAGTAAAGATGAAGCTTCAGTCAACTTCAGTGTACGCATGATTCGATCGTTTCATAAGAGACCATATATCTATTATATGGGGTCTGGTTTCATACAGGTATCTAAACAGTTTTTGCCAGGGCTACAGTTAAACTATTCCCAATTAGACATTGTGTTCCCAACTCTTGAGACCTACAGTGGGTACCCGGGTAGGGTCGGGTAATAGGGGGTTGGGTACCCAGGTAGTAAATTTGGACTCGTCCCAGCCCTAATTCACATTGTAATGGATGTTGCTTTTATATAGATATAATGATACTCTAGGATATGATATGTTTTTTCAACACCTTAAGCTGAAATTAATCAACTAGTGATACAGTTCTGTCTTCAGGTTAGGCCTTACATTTTATTAGGAAAATCAACCAACTTCTCCCTTACATTCTATATTACATGATAGTTTTAATGAAATAGAAATTCAAATTGACAAACAAAGAAAGTCATTTAGCAGGGGTAAGTAAGTGTATTCGGCGTCATGACAGTGGTCACTTGTTTGTAAACATAATGGTCATTCGGTTGCGAGTTCAACTCCAAACATGGCTGTGGTCATCTATCCGACTCTGCCATGACATACTGTATTCGACGTAATAAGCGCCAACGGCGATAATTGCTCATATATTGGCTAGTGAACAATCCCCATTAGCACCCCTTCCGATTGTTCATTGTACACAAGACTTATTAATTTGTGCATAATACGCACTCGTGTGTTATATGCACCCTTAATTATGGGCAATTAAATTCTGAAAAAATATATCTGTCGTATATAAACATTTCAGTCTGTCAGCATAAACCACGAAATTTATCTTTCAGATCTGTTTTTTCCACCAAAATAATATTCTTATAAGAGCTCCCTGTTTCTAATTTTGAGAGCGCCCTGGGCGCTTATTACGTCGAATACGGTAAGCTCACTCAAGGATTAAGTTCAGGTGAGCAAAGAAAATCAAAGGCTACAACATAACAAAGCACTATAGTCAAAATACTCTATCAAGAGTGGTATAATCCCTTCACTAAACAGAAATCATGAGACAAAATAACTTAAAACAATTACAATTATAATTGTAATAATAATAACACAGACTAAACCTACGTACATCCTATTATCATAACAAACATCACAGTGAGCGTATGGGAGATGAGGTCAAGGTGACAAGGTCAAGGTCAAGGTCAGAGTCTAAGAGTTCAGATCGTCTTCACAAACACCTTGCACTGCCAGCTCCATGGTTACATTGTTCAGATAGTTGGGGTCTGGGTAGCCGTGCCCCGAGACATTTGAGCCAAATTCTGTTTTATGATGAATCTCGTTCCACGTGACGGTATCGCCCTCCCCTGTAGTGGTGGACACACCGATTGTGAACATCAACCTTCTCTGCCAGGCTATTGTCAGCAGTTTCAGGACCTAGCAACAAAATAAACATGTCAAATCTATAGTGAGACAAGCATGGGTACTGGGAACCTAGACTGCCCTAGACTCCCAAAAGTGAGTCAAGCATGGGTACTGGGAACCTAGACTGCCCTGGACTCCCCACAGTGAGACAAGCATGTGTACTTGGAACCTAGACTGCCCTAGACTCCCCACAGTGAGACAAGCATGGGTACTGGGAACCTAGACTGCCCTAGACTCCCCACAGTGAGACAAGCATGGGTACTGGGAACCTAGACTGCCCTGGACTCCCCCTGCATTCCCCACAGGGAGACAAGCATGGGGTACTGGGAACCTAGACTGCCCTGGACTCCCCACAGTGAGACAAGTATGTGTACTGGGAACCTAGACTGCCCTAAACTCTCCACAGTGAGACAAGCATGTGTACTTGGAACCTAGACTGCCCTGGACTCTCCACAGTGAGACAAGCATGGGTACTGGGAACTAGACTGCCCTGGACTCCCCACAGTGAGACAAGCATGTGTACTGGGAACCTAGACTGCCCTAGACTCCCCACAGTGAGACAAGCATGGGTACTTGGAACCTAGACTGCCCTAAACTCTCCACAGTGAGACAAGCATGTGTACTTGGAACCTAGACTGCCCTGGACTCTCCACAGTGAGACAAGCATGGGTACTGGGAACTAGACTGCCCTGGACTCTCCACAGTGAGACAAGCATGTGTACTTGGAACCTAGACTGCCCTAGACTCTCCACAGTGAGACAAGTATGTGTACTGGGAACCTAGACTGCCCTGGACTCCCCACAGTGAGACAAGTATGTGTACTGGGAACCTAGACTGCCCTGGACTCCCCACAGTGAGACAAGCATGTGTACTGGGAACCTAGACTGCCCTAGACTCTCCACAGTGAGACAAGTATGGGTACTGGGAACCTAGACTGCCCTAGACTCTCCACAGTGAGACAAGCATGTGTACTGGGAACCTAGACTGCCCTAGACTCTCCACAGTGAGACAAGTATGGGTACTGGGAACCTAGACTGCCCTGGACTCCCCACAGTGACAAGCATGTGTACTGGGAACCTAGACTGCCCTAGACTCTCCACAGTGAGACAAGCATGTGTACTGGGAACCTAGACTGCCCTGGACTCTCCACAGTGAGACAAGCATGTGTACTGGGAACCTAGACTGCCCTGGACTCCCCACAGTGAGACAAGCATGTGTACTGGGAACCTAGACTGCCCTAGACTCTCCACAGTGAGACAAGCATGGGTACTGGGAACCTAGACTGCCCTAGACTCTCCACAGTGAGACAAGCATGTGTACTGGGAACCTAGACTGCCCTGGACGCCCCCTGCATTCCCCACAGGGAGACAAGCATGGGGTACTGGGGACCTGAATGGCCCTGAACTCCCCCAGCACTCCCCACAGGGAGACAAGTATGGGGTACTGGGGACCTAATCTGCCCTGGAATCCCCCTGGACCCCACAGGGAGACAAGCATGGGGTACTGGGGACCTAATCTGCCCTGAATTCCCCCAGCACTCCCCACAGGGAGACAAGCATGGGATACTGGGGAACAAGGAGATTGGCCTATTCTTCCCAGAACCCCAGAATTCAAAGCCATTGGGGTACTGGTACAAAGTAATGTACACAATTCATTTTCCATTGATCAAGTGAACAGGGGCGACTACAGATGATTCAGTCTACAAGTCCTTATAATGAAAACATATAGAAAAACCCTTAAAAATGGCAACTTTCTACAAGTCCTTGATACTTAACTATTAGGTAGCTTGGCAAGGACTACAAGACTACTGCCAATTTCTAACGCTGCCACTCACCTTTCTCCCTTTCTCATTGTCAGGAAGATAAGCCACTCTGGGGAATCCACGAGCTGAGTATCTCTTGCCAGTATTAGGATGCTCTGGACCCTAGAATCACAATGCAAACATGTTGGCACTGATACAAAATCTGATGGCTTGACATGGAGAATGTGAGGGGTGGTGACTCATCTGTCTACTTGGTTGACAGTGTACACAACTCTAATTGCCTGACAGTCAGGGTGGCCGGGGAGAGTGTGAGGGATGAAGACTCACCTGTATTCCTGGGTTGACAGTGTACACAACTCTAATTGCCTGACAGTCAGGGCAGCCGGGGAGAGTGTGAGGGATGAAGACTCACCTGTATTCCTGGGTTGACAGTGTACACAACTCTGATGGCCTGACAGTCAGGGCGGCCGGGGAGAGTGTGAGGGGTGGAGACTCACCTGTATTCCTGGGTTGACAGTGTACACAACTCTGATGGCCTGACAGTCAGGGTGGCCGGGGAGAGTGTGAGGGGTGGAGACTCACCTGTATTCCTGGGTTGACAGTGTACACAACACTGATGGCCTGACAGTCAGGGCGGCCTGGGAGAGTGTGAGGGGTGGAGACTCACCTGTATTCCTGGGTTGACAGTGTACACAACTCTGATGGCCTGACAGTCAGGGTGGCCGGGGAGAGTGTGAGGGGTGGAGACTCACCTGTATTCCTGGGTTGACAGTGTACACAACTCTGATGGCTTGAAAGTCAGGGCAGCCGGGGAGAGTGTGAGGGGTGGAGACTCACATGTATTCCTGGGTTGACAGTGTACACAACTCTGATAGCCTGACAGTCAGGGTGGCCGGGGAGAGTGTGAGGGGTGGAGACTCACCTGTATTCCTGGGTTGACAGTGTACACAACTCTGATAGCCTGACAGTCAGGGCGGCCGGGGAGAGTGTGAGGGGTGGAGACTCACCTGTATTCCTGGGTTGACAGTGTACACAACTCTGATGACCTGACAGTCAGGGTGGCCGGGGAGAGTGTGAGGGGTGGAGACTCACCTGTATTCCTGGGTTGACAGTGTACACAATTCTGATGGCCTGACAGTCAGGGCGGCCGGGGAGAGTGTGAGGGGTGGAGACTTACCTGTATTCCTGGGTTGACAGTGTACACAATTCTGATGGCCTGACAGTTGGGGCAGCCAGGGAGAGTGTGAGGGGTGGAGACTTACCTGTATTCCTGGGTTGACAGTGTACACAACTCTGATGGCTTGACAGTCAGGGCGGCCGGGGAGAGTGTGAGGGGTGGAGACTCGCCTGAATTCCTGGGTTGACAGTGTACACAATTCTGATGGCCTGACAGTCAGGGCGTCCGGGGAGAGTGTGAGGGGTGGAGACTCACCTGTATTCCTGGGTTGACAGTGTACACAATTCTGATGGCCTGAAAGTCAGGGTGGCCGGGGAGAGTGTGAGGGGTGGAGACTCACCTGTATTCCTGGGTTAACAGTGTACACAACTCTGATAGCCTGACAGTCAGGGTGGCCGGGGAGAGTGTGAGGGGTGGAGACTCACCTGTATTCCTGGGTTGACAGTGTACACAATTCTGATGGCCTGACAGTCAGGGCGGCCGGGGAGAGTGTGAGGGGTGGAGACTTACCTGTATTCCTGGGTTGACAGTGTACACAATTCTGATGGCCTGACAGTTGGGGCAGCCAGGGAGAGTGTGAGGGGTGGAGACTTACCTGTATTCCTGGGTTGACAGTGTACACAACTCTGATGGCCTGACAGTCAGGGTGGCCGGGGAGAGTGTGAGGGATCGGGTGGAACTCCATCTCCCCAGGGGGACAGTTTCCAAGGCGTTCACCATAGATTGTCTTACATGTTGGGCACTGGATACTTCCATCCTGCAACGTTAAAGAGTAGAATCAGTGAAAAACCACTGTAGTACCTGTGCATAGAAGAACATGTTAGATCAATGTACACATTAAGCCACATTATCAACACAGTCAAGCAGGACATGTGACAGACAGGATACTGCCTTGTGGGACACCCTGATTGTAATGGTCAGGCAGGGTCAAACCCACTCGAACTTGAAATTGTCTATCTTTTAAAAACAGAGATACAAGTAGAGGCAAACGGCCCCTTAAACCAAAATCATGAAGATCTTTGAAAATACCATACTTCTATGTGGTATTATATGACTTTTCAAGATTGAAAAATATTGATACAGCATGTTGTTTATATATTTTGGAATTTTTAATAAAAGATTCTAAACGTACTAAAGGATCGATGGTACTTAGATTTTTGTGGAAACCACATTGAATGTTAGTAATGAGATTGTTTGTTTCCAAGTACCAAACTAAACAATTATTTACCATACGTTCCATAGTCTTACAAACGCAGCTAGTAAGGGATATTGATCTGTAATTAGAGGGATCGGTATGATCTCGACCAGGCTTAGGTATAGGAATGACAGTAGCATATAAAAATATTTTTCTGCCTTCTTCCTAGCCTTTCTAGCTTGTCTGCAGTCAGTGTTAAACCATGGATTGTGGATATGTGGAACCGTAGAGGACTTTGGTATACCTTCATCAGCAATGATATTTAATTCATCAGAAAAAAATTGAATAGGATCATTAACATTTAGAATTAATTCAGTCCGTAATCTTTCAGTGCTTGTGTGTGAAATAAATACCAACTGGCCTTTGTAAAATTCCATGTTGATGATGGTGGAGCATCAGTTGGATTTACGGTTCAAATTACAGTGGGAAGATGGTCAGTTCCACAAAGGTCATTGTGGGCTGACCATTCAAATTCATTAAACAGATTGGCATCAGCAACAGATAAATCCAGAGAAGAGTATGAGCCATTTGCAGGATGTAGATATGTGTCAGACCCATCTTTAAAAATACATAAAATGTTATTTAAGGGGAAATCCGTGAATATCTTACCTTTTGTATTGGTGTTATTACTGCCCCAAAGTGGATTACGGACATTGAAATCTCCCATTATAATGCAGGGTTGGGTGAGTTGGTCATAAAGTGAGTGAGTTGGGTTTAACGCCGCTTTTAACAGTATTCAAGTTATATCGCGGCGTGTCAGCTTAATGTGGGAGGAAAGCCCGAAGTGATGCAGGTCTTAGACGTTTACCACTTCGGTGAAACCCACGAGCATGGTCGTGGTGCTGACAAACCTAGAATCATAATTGGGGCGAACCGGGATTCGAACCCACAATCATAGAGTTCTGGCGTGCCCAAGGGACGCAACCCTGCACAGCGAATTGCGGCGCCTTAAGACGACTGGGCCACCTGTGCCCCCGAGTTGGTCAAAAAGGGCTTGAAGATCAGATTGACATAGAGAAGATGATGGCGGAATATAGAGGGAACACAAAGTAAAAACAATATGCAGCGTAACACGGACTGCAACTGCCTGAAGGGGGGTATTGAGTGGAACAGTAACCCCTGATGGGGTCACATATAAATGCTAAAGAGAGACAACTCACCTTGTGACCACTATCGTACATAGCATTGAGACACATGCGATGGAACATGTGGGTACACTTGACAAGGGAGACAACCTGGTGGTCTTCATCTCCAGCGCTTCCGTAGCTTGACTCTTCATGCAACGCATCATAGCAGATACAACAGTCCTGCAATAACAGAACCGTCACTTGATTAGCAGATACAAAAGAGTGAGTGAGTTGGGTTTAACGCCACTTTTAACAGTATTCCCGTTATATCGTGGTGTGTCAGCTTAATGTGGGAGGAAAGCCCGAAGTGATGCAGGTCTCAGACTTTTAGTTTAAACACTTCGGTGAAACCCACGAGCACGGGGATGGTGCTAACAAACCTAGAAACATAATTGGAGCGAACCGGGATTCGAACCCACAATCATAGGTTTCTGGCGTGGTCAAGGGACGAAACTCTTAGACTTTAGACGACTGGGCCACCCGTGCCCCCAGATACAAAAGAACAAGAAGACCATCATTTGAATAGCAGACACAACACTCCTGGAATAAAATAACCATCACCATCATCATTTTAGTGTCCCCAAGCATTTATACAGACAAAGAAAATCACTGTGTTCCCTTCCTTCTTTACAAAACACTCTTGCCTCATGCCAATCACATCTGTCAACATACAGACGTCCATCTTCCCGAGGCAAGAGTGTCCACTGGCCTTTTTATCAAAGTCTTGTTTCCACCCTTGCCACACCAAGCCCACTTTCCTGTGCTAAATATGATTGGACTATCGCACATGTCGATAGTCCAATTAGAGAACGGTCCACAAAATCAACATCCACGAGTGGTACATATTCGTACGAAAGAGATTTACCGCTGCCTGTCTTTGTTGACATGAATATGTCTGTTTCACCTTTTAAACCCCTCACCAATTACCTGTATTTGTCTTGAAATCACGAATTTTTCGTTTTCTGATTGACTAGGTCGTCATCTATGGTAGTCGCCATCACTGTGAAGCCGTCAAGATAAGAACAGCTATCTGACTGGATATCGTGTTTTCATTACAAGGGGTACAACTCATTATCTACGCAAGGTTCGAGTGGGTTGAGCCAAGAAAAGTTGCAGCAAAGGTTGGAACAATGGCTTTGATATAGACTAGTGGAAATGCTTGCCTCGGGAAGATGACAGATGCCTTGAACACTGTTTTCCTCTCTCAAGTATACAAAATGAAAGGCCTTCAGCCTCACATTTTTAAAAAAAATAGAGCATCAGTCACTGTAGCTCACCTGGATATGTAGTCTAGTTTAAAAGGTTAAAAGTAAAAAAAGACAGTCACTTCAAAACAGTTGCTGTCAGCATTGATATTCAAATATTTTCTGCATTACATATTGAGGACTAAAACCTAACACTAAAATCTAATGATTTGAACAACATATGTCATCATAATATAGAGAAAAATACATGCCAAAGTTAACCACCAATATGCCTTTGAGAGAATTTAAGAGCATGGTCATAACAAGGTCATAAATAGTTTTTGCCCTGACAATCATATTTAAAATTGGATATAAAAGACTTGAACAAATTGGGCTGTCATTGGTGGCAAAAAGCATGTGAGTCTTAGCTTTATTCATTGGTCATGATTATACAAGGTCTTGAGGTGAGGTGAAATGGGTTTAAAATCATGTCCAAGGTTATTGCACTGATATAGCAACGTGTATGCGTTATGTATGTGTGTGGTTGCTTGTACTAGTCCGGACTGATTTATAGTGGTAGCTTACTGATATACCATGCCACAGTTTAACATGAATACCTAACTCAGACCCCACCAGTCCTTGTTTTAGCCCCTTAATGCCGAGCGCCAGACAGGGTAACAACAAGTACCATCTTTTAACGTCTTTTGGTATGACGCGACGGGGATCAAACCCTGGACCTTCCGCTCTCCGGGCGGACACTGTATCATTAGACCACGGAGGCAGTCTACAAGGTCTTGAAGTTATGAAGCAATGACAAGCCATACGTACCTCATTTGGAGGTTTGGGTTCCACTTTGAGATAGCGTTTCAGCACCTCATCTGCAGTCTTAGCTGGAAAAATAGCAAAATGTTAACATAAACTGAAAACAAATCATTGATGAAAAACAACATTGTGTGATTGTTGATTACAGTTTCAACAAGCATAGTACATGGAATTAACATTTCTGAAAAACGTTTGGTCTTTTCAGTTATCATGGTCACCCACCAATGAAAAGCTTTACATCATGATGACTTAAACCCCTTTCACTAGATCGCACAATTCACGTTTATTTCAGCAACCACAGTCAGATTATCGCTATTGACACCTTGAAACAAACTTTAGTTGACAGGGAATGGATACATATATCATTAATGTCATACTATGACTCGTTAAAAGTCATAAGTTTTCGCTATCGAGAGTGTGTGAGCCCCGACTGTGACTTGAATATTTCATCAAACCTAGGCCTATCGATGCTTCAAAAGTTGGCACTAGATCTACCTTGCATGACAAATTCCAAGAAATGAAGTCAACTGTCTGTCACTCCATTCCTAAGAAGCATGTGCCATATATGGAAGTGTGACTACCATTTATCAATGAAACAAGCCTAGTTCTCATGATGATTTAAACCCCTTCCGTTTATGCCCAATCAAGTTATATCAATCATTCAACATGACTTGGCTTCTGAGTGCAGATGGTCGCACCGTTGAGCAGAGCTCCAGATAACTTTTTGAGCAATTGAGTTTTAACCCTAGGCTTTCTGTTTTAATTGGGTTATTACTAGGGCCGTTACGATTCACTCGCGTATTGGGTGAATCGAACCGTATCCTTTCATGAATCGAAATCGTTATTCGTGGCCACTAGAATCAAATATTTATGAATATGCAATCATGTCCATTTACATACCCTGTACCTAAAACATCCATAAGAACATATGATATGCATAGATTTCTTTAAAGACAACACTCTTATAATATTTAATTTGACAGGAATTTGGTCACTGGTCATTGTAGCTTTTGAGCAGATACTGGTACCTGGACAAGTGCAGTATGTGAATGTATAATATAGATAATTAACAAACCATGTCAAATAATTTATGTTGTTAATGTTTCACTGAATATAACAAATAATACATCAACTACTGACTTATTATTGTATTTGTGAATTAATATTCGTATTCATTAGCCTATATTCGTGATACGAATCGTATTCGCCTCATAGGTTATTCGTTGCAGCCCTAGTTATTACATGTTTCTTTGGGTAACTAATATTTTTTCACGCTTCTAATCATCACTCTATTGGGTTTTTCCCCAAATGAGTGAATATTTTAAGATTTCAAAATAAATGATGTAATGTTTAAGATGTGAAGATCTGGGGTAGAATAGGTCTTTAGCAACCCATGTTTGACGTAAAAGGCAACTATGCTTGTCGTAAGCGGCGACTAACGGGATCGGGTGGTCAGGCTCACTGACTTGGTTGATGTATGTCATTGTATCCCAATTGCGTGGATGGATGCTCATGATATCAATCACTGGATTGTCTGGTCCAGACTCGATTATTTACAGACCGCCGTCATATAGCTGCAATATTGCTGAGTGCAGCGTTAAACAACAAACATCAACTACATCAACATCATCATCCCCATCACAGCATCAGTATCATCATCACCCTGGCCGGAGCCACCATACAAGGCAGACTGTCCCAGGAAGTCACTACTCACGTTTACTCTTGCGTAGTTTCTGGAGGAGGATTCTGCCTGAGGAGGGGAAGTTGTCCTGAGGCTGCTGGGAGTTGGTTGCAGATGGGGGAGGGAAGACCGGCGCCTTCTGGTTGGAGAATGCCACTGGCACAGCAGGGGACACCAGCATATTAGTCATGTCTGGAAAACAACAGGCAATACACATGACTCCATGTCAACCGCCTTGCTCATATGAGGTGACACTGTTCATATTTCACAAAATCTTGAACAAAAAGAAACAAACAGAAAATAAAATAAATAATTTAAAATTATTTCCATTTGACCCTCTGTTCTTTCACAAAATCTTGAGCGAAAAGAAACAAACAGAAAATAAAATAAATAAAATAAATAATTTTAAATTATTTTCATTTGACCCTCTGTTCTTTCACAAAATCTTGAGCGAAAAGAAACAAACAGAAAATAAATACATAATTTAAAATTGTATCAATTGCCCCTCTGCTCTATCTTTGATAACAAAAATACATTGATACAACTTGTATTGTTACTGTTCAAAAAAGGGATTGTAGACCTCCACATGGGCTGATATTCGGCCCAAGTCCGCAAAAATGGCCCAATAAATGTTTATATATCGGGAATCATAACAAACGGTATGGTTCTGCGGAGTGGACATATTTCACTGATAACAGGGACAAAAACAAGTTGTGACAGGTATTGGACTTTTGTACAGCAATTTATTGCAATAATGATTCATGTTTTGCAATACGTTGCACAATATATTGCATGCATTCTTTCATCTGTAATTTGTTATGAACCTGCATCATTACTGGTAAGTTAGTGGTCCCCCATATTTCACAAAAGAGTCAGTGTTTGCACAGTGAGATGTTATCTGCAAGTTTCTTATCAAGTTTGCTTTCTGAAAAGACCCATTTGTCTGACTTCCCTAGCACATTTTTAACAACTTCTACATCAAATTCTCTCCTCCTGTTACAGTACAAGAGAAACATACAGTCAGTACTTACTGGATACAACCGGACTGATCCGGCTTCCCCGACCCTTCCCAGCATTTAACTGGAGTGGGATACTGCAAGGAAAAGAAACAGTAGTCAATATACATGATATAAGTAAAACACTGATGAATGCAATTGTTCTTAGAAAGTCATCTTTGCAAAACTACACAAATCCATCCATGGTGTCGCAGTACAGTGTGAAACTCTGGGAGATGACAAGCAAGTGTCTAGAACAGTCTACCCATTGTGCTTCTAACTCCACATGAATATATACAAATAATGAGAGTGAGTGTGTTAGGTTATATCGCAGCGTGTCAGCTTAATGTGGGAGGAAAGCCCGAAGTGATGCAGGTCTACGACATTCAACACTTCTGTGAAACCCACGAGCATGGGTATGGTGCTGACAAACATAGAAACATAATCGGGGTGAACCGGGATTCGAACCCACAATCATAGGTTTCTGGCGTGCCGAAGGGCCGCAACTCTGCGCAGTGAATCGCGGCGCCTTAGACGACTGGGCCACCCGTGCCCCCACAAGTAATGAGAAACTAAATGTGAATCTCTGATAGTGATCACATAGAACTAAACATGATCCTTCTGATGAGATGCAAGAAACTAGACAACATACATATGACTAACACAAGCTAATATAAGCAGTGAATGAATTAATATCCAAAGTTCACAGGGCCAGAAGGGCTTGTTAACTAAAAATGTTTTAAGCCCTCATCATATTTTACTGGCCCTACAGTCGGAACCATGTTTGTGCCAAAACTGCCACTATGACATACCAATCTCATTAAAATCAGATCTTAGTTCTCGCTACCGCTAAACAAAGATCTGAGGAAATCCAATTACGGGTCACGTCAGACCGACCTTGCGTGTTAAAGTTTTCGAGGATGCATGATTAGAAATCACATTCCAACTGTCACTTTCATGATCTGGTAAGAGACGCTCTGATTGGTGGGATGAAAGGTCGTTCTGACGTGACCTCTACTGGGATGTCCTCAGATCTTTGTTTAGCGGTAGCGAGAACTAAGGTCTGATTTTAATGAGATTGTATGACATACAAGCATGACAGTTACACTTAAAATTTTGCAACCAGTCACAAAAGCCAGCAGAAACCCTGTTAACTACTTCGTGTGAGTTTCTGATCAATGAAGAAATGAAAACATACAGACTTTGGCATTAAACCATGCCTTAACTGACTCCATGATTCGTACAATTACATATATATTGACAAGAATTTTGCACAAGACAGTCCAGCTTTATGGAAATTTTACTTGCCAAATTAAAAGTCACTGGCATTTGGCTAGCAGACAGGCAACTAAATTAACACTGAATATAAGTGATTATTAATTAATTGTACATGTGACAATGCCCATAGCTGCATCAATTGTGAGTGAGTAAAGTTTGGTTGAACAACGCATTAAACAGTACTTCAGTCATATCACAAAGTGACCCATGAAGATCCGGGGTAGAATAGGTCTCCAGCAACCCATGCTTGCTGTAAAAGGCGACTATGCTTGTTGTAATAGGCGACTAACTGGATCTGGTGGTCAGGCTCGCCCACTTGGTTGATACATGTCATCATATCCCAATTGCGTGGATGGATGCTCATGACATCAATCACTGGATTGTCTGGTCCAGACTTGATTATTTACAGACTGCCTTCATATAGCTGGAATATTGCTATGTGCGGGGTTAAACAACAAATAAACAAACAAACATATCACAAAGTGTCAGCTTGTGAGAGGTGAGCCCAGAGATTTTCACCCTTCGGTGAAACCCAAGAGCACAGTTAAGGTGCAGACAAACCAAGAATCATAATCAGGATCAATATAACCCATGGTCATTGGATCACTAACACAGCTATTTCAAAATCATAATAAGCAGAACATGGACACGGCACTGACACATCCTACTGAGCCATGGTGACAACCATACAACACTGGGATGCTGAAGATGCAATAAATGACATATGCCCTGACCTTGCTAGAACCAAAAACAGTACCTTCAAGTTGTGTTTTATTTGACATGCCTGTTTCACCATCTCAGAATGATTAAAAAACAAAGAGAAATCCTTCAATAATTGTGATCTTCATTCAATGTTAATCACGATCATGGTTGTAATGGGAAAAAAATGAATTGTTTGTTAGTTTGTCATTGAATGCCGCACTCAGTAATATTCCAGCTATATGACGGCGGTCTGTAAATCTGGACCAGACAATCCAGTGCTTTACATCATGAGCATCGATCAACGCAGCTGGGATACGATGACATGCCTCAACCAAGTCAGCAAGCATGTGAAAAATAACAGAAACTGTCCAACAACAAACTTATGCATATTCTCTAGTGTTTCAAGGTTGGACATAAAAGTTTAAAATTCACAGAGCCCTCTACCGATATGTTTCTGGCCTACAATGTCCCATCTTTGATCTCTGAAACTCAATAACAAATGTTTCAGGGTCGTGATTCACCTGTAAAAAGAAAGAATATCAACTTCTTAAATAAAAGTACTGTATAAGGATATGAACTGTATCGTGCCCAAAGTATCGTTGTGGCCCCATCGTATCGTTACATCTCTAGTGACATGAACATTTTGTTCAATCATCTTGTACAAATGTTTCCACACGTAAGATTCATCTTTCACTTTAGAATCAAGAGCTTTCATTTCGATACGATACATGTCTGCGTCAAGATGTGCAAACATATCCTTTTAAGGTCACTTGAGTTGAACCTTGAGTGAACTATGACTATCCAATCACAATTAAGGATGAGTGGGTTCTCAAGCCAATCAGATGTCAGGTTTCTAAAACAATTCAACTTCATTTCTGTATTGCATTGATTTGGAAATTTCAATCTCAGCAAAACAAAATCACAACCACAAATACACCATCTATAGTACATGCTTTTGGGTGGTGACATGACAAAAAAAATATCAACAACACTCCAATAGCGCTGTAAATTTTGTATTCCCCACGGTTATATTCGTTTTTGAGATAAAAAATCAGATAGGCTTGTCTGAATGGATCGCTCACTCGTACAGAGAAATTACAAGCCTTGATGCTGAATGGTGGATTAGAAAGATATAAACTTCTATCAAGGGGTCCTCAGATCTTCATGCAGAGATCGGGGCGGTCGGGTAGCCTAGTGGTTAAAGCGTTCCCTCGTCACGCCGAAGACCTGGGTTCGATTCCGGACACGAGTACAATGTGTGAAGCCCATTTCTGGTGTCCCAGCCGTGATATTGCTGGAATATTGCTAAGAGCAGCGTAAAACCATACTCACTCACTCATGCAGAGATCTACCTATCAGAGTAAAAGACCTGGGCTCGTTCCACAAAGCGATCTTATTGCTGAGACCGCCATAAGTCTATGTTTAAGTATGGGAGTTACGATCATCTTAGCGCTAAGATCGCTTTGTGGAACGGGGCCCAGGTTTTAAACCTGTAGGGATTCTGGGTAAGAAAACAGGTCCCCAGCAACCTATTGCTAAAGAGGCGACTAAATAGATCGGGTGGTCAGGTCAAGTGTCTGGGTTGATAGTATGTAATCATATCCCAATTAGGTAGATCAATGTTCAAAATGTCAATCACTGGATTGCCATGCACAGACATCATTATTTACAGGCTGCCGTCATACAGAAGTAATATTGCTGAGTGCAGCATCAAACAAACAAACAATCAAGCTGATTTTAGTGAGATTGAAGACTCACACAATTCATCAAACAACGAACAAACCCTACCGAGAGTACAACCACCAGAAAAACATTCTAGAAGAACTTACACAAACAGGGACCTCTCGTACAGCTGCATTGTCGTCTACATGACAAGTGCCGATGTCATTCCCTCTATGGGCGAGGAGTGGCATTACATCCGTTCAAGGTCAGCAGCAACTGTGCATCACAACCCATCCACAAAACAGACATTACAAAGTCCATGTGCAAGCAGGTCACAGTAGGAGAATCGCCATCCCTCTGGAAAGCGCAGCTCGGTAGAGTGACGTGAGAACGAGATGCTTGAGCGACAGAGAGCATGTAATCAGGGTAATCACAACCCCTGTGCCTGCCGACGGAATTCAGTTTGATGAGCCATCCTCTGGTATTGATCAGCTCCCTGATCACCACTGACACTGCCCATGCCTACAGTCTGCGACTGTCAGAGGGGAATTGTGCACTGCCAGCATTACCTTACATACGCATGAGGAATACAACGCATTGTCTGCAGAAGGTCTGTAATTATTCCACGGCATTGACGGCAAGACCACAGATAACGCTTACTCTACTGCAGTATGCCGGGACCAGTATTCATGAAGCTTTCTTGAATGCAGCACAAAGACGTTAACTGTTGAATAAAGGTTGATTGTGCATGTTGTTCAGCGACCTTAAACAGGCCTTAAACAGAACTAGTTTCTGTATTCTGGGCAAATCAATAAAAACAGATAAATGCCCCTATATGAAGAACAGAAAACAGGCTCCTATGTGAAGAACAGAAAACAGGCTCCTATATATTAGAACAGAGAACAGGCCCCTATATATTAGGAACAGAGGACAGGCCCCTATATGTAGAGCAGAGAACAGGCCCCTATATATTAGGAACAGAAAACAGGCCCCTATATGTAGAACAGAGAACAGGCCCCATATATGTAGAACAGAAACAGGCCCCTATATATAAGAACAGAAAACAGGCCCCATATGTAGAACAGAGAACAGGCCCCTATATATTAGGAACAGAGGACAGGCCCCTATATGTAGAACAGAGAACAGGCCCCTATATGTAGAACAGAGAACAGGCCCCTATATGTAGAACAGAGAACAGGCCCCTATATATTAGGAACAGAGGACAGGCCCCTATATGTAGAACAGAGAACAGGCCCCTATATGTAGAACAGAAAACAGGCTCCTATATATAAAAAACAGAGGAGAGGCCCCTATATGTAGAACAGAGAACAGTCCCCTATATATAGAACAGAGAACAGGCCCCTATATGTAGAACAGAGAACAGGCTCCAATATGTAGAATGGAGAACAGGCCCCTATATGTAGAACAGAGAACAGGCCCCTATATATAGAACAGA